CTACAAAGTTATAGCCTTCTTTTTTTCTTATGGCTTTTTATGAGGGAGTACAATGTCTCTTTTCTCAAAACATCTGTAAATCTTCTACCTAGTTTTTTATCAAAAACTCATTTTTTACTCAATTTTTGTGAATGCGTTTAAACTAGTTAAGAATTATTCTGAATCCAATAGAAATAGTCAGGATTCTGTCGGTTGCTTCCAAAGAATCTGTAAAATATTAACTATGTTGAAATCGAGTATAAATTCATATATAGACTTTGGAATAAAACGATTAGAATACAGCGCTAACTATCGAAAACTTTTGACTGGAGAGATTAGCATGAATCGCAATGTGATATATAAATCATGCAAAGAGCTCAAAGAACAGCTGTTTAGTATTTCGAATAAACAAAGATTATTGGTATCGTTCAAAGTTTTGTTATATAATCAAAATGCCGCCTCCGAATAAACGCAAAAAACACACTAATACTTTGAATGCGAGAAGATCGATAGATAGTCTCGCTTCAGAAAGTACGGAAGATTATTCTGATGAAGAAAAAAAAGAAGAAGAAATAGTTTCATCTGAATCTGATGATCAAACTGACCATATTAATTTCAAAAATGATTCAATAATTTATGATATTTCTGATCTATTTTCCTTTTGTCAAACACAAATCAATACACGTTTCCTTAGTACTCTTACCTATATGTCATTACGTCGGTTTGGCTATACCTTTCGAGATGTAGATTTATTTTTAACAACAATTGGAACGATGACAGCAAAAACGTGTCAGAAATGGACAAATATATTAGTACATCATGACTTTGATGATTTTATAGCAGATGGACGAGGTTAGCCGAACTAAAGCTACTCTTTTTCACTAATAAAACGAGTTTCTATCTGATTTATAGGAGGAAAACACGTTGATGATTTCTGGGATCTACCCACAGATTTAGAGATGGAAGCTAGACATTTTGTTTTCCAAGAATGTTCGAAAAAAGAAGCTTCATTTACAGCAGGTGAAAATATTTTTCTGTGAAATTTGTTAGTAAAAATACTTCATTTGGAATAAACTCTGCTATTTTTAGAAACAGTTGCAAGGTTGATTGATAATCGATTTTATGAACTTAACAATCTTAAAAAAGCTGAAGATAAACTGATCAGATCAATTGAGAGTTGTAGACTAGATCTGAGGCGTTTTGGTTGCAAGTACACAGGAAATAAAGGAAGACCATATTTCTTAGGTCATGAGAGAGAAGATGTTGTTCAACACAGGGAACAATTCGTCAAATACTTTATGGAACACAAAGATCACTTTTACACAGTTACGGAGGAAGGGGATCCAAAGTGGGTTAAACCTGATATACATTCGATTATTCTAATATGTAAGGAATTTTTTTCTACTTTCCCTGAAACTCACCTTCACCTTTTTTCACAATTTTCCCTTTTAAGGTCATGATGAAAGCACCTATAAATCAGGAGAAATATGTGCCAAACGTTGGATCATTGAAGATAATGCCCCGTTCTACAATAAAGGACGTGGCAGAAGTATTATGGCATCTGATTTTTTAGTAATGCATAGCAGTGCATCATTTTTTTCGTTGAATTGCAACGAATTTAAAGAAGCATTGGAGAAATATCCTGATTTAAATAATGATTCAGATATTATCTATGAGGAGCGAACTGCATCAGCAACGTTGAATATTGGAGGAAATAGTTATTTTAATAACGAAATAATCCTGAAGCAAATCGAACGTCTATTCCAGTTGTTACGTTTTAAAGAAGATTATAAAGATCATGATTTTGTTTGTCTTGTTGACAACGCCCGCACACATACAGCAGCTGAGTATACAGTTGATCCTGGAGGACGATGTCCAGTAAGCACAATTGAATACGTTGATCATCAAAATGTTAGAAGAATCATCAATTGTTATGATCATGATGGCAAGAGCAAAGGTTTATTGAAACTAGCAAATGAGTTGAATCTTCATATACCACGACGTTGTAAATTACCGGAGTTAAAGATGATCATGTCTGAACATCCAGCTTTCAAACATGTCAGTAGATCTCTTTTTAAACTAATTACCAATCATATTGTTTATGATTTTTTTTACCTAATTTTCTATCATAGGTTAGCAAACTCGAAAAGTTGGGAGCCAAATATGGAGTTAGAATCATTTTTGCACCGAAATTTCACTGCGAAACCAATCCTATTGAAGGTTTCTGGTGTCATTCAAAACAATTCATCTGGAAAAATACTGATCAAACTTTTCAAGCATTAGTTTCTTTAATGCCAAAAGCAAAACGGAATTTCATAGAAAGAGATATTCATTTGAAACTCTTCAGATGCTTTTGGAGAACTATAAAAGCTTACAATGACGGAAAAGATTACTTGGAAGTACTATCAATGTTTTTCAGTGGTTTATGTAAAGATAAGATCTTGAGTCATCGTAAAATTACCAACACTAATATGGATACTTAAGAACAGTTTTATTGAACTATATTTTTCGTTTTTTTATTGAAACATCGTAACAACTAATAAAAGAAATTGATTTATATAACTAATTCGAATCGAATTCTACCTCGATACCCGTTTCCATCTATTAATGATTGTCAGAGGTTCTCGCCTATTTCTATTGGATTCAGAATAATTCTTAACTAGTTTAAACGCATTCACAAAAAATTGAGTAAAAAATGAGTTTTTGATAAAAAACTAGGTAGAAGATTTACAGATGTTTTGAGAAAAGAGACATTGTACTCCCTCATAAAAAGCCATAAGAAAAAAAGAAGGCTATAACTTTGTAG